TGTCCACCTGTGCCCCCTCGGCCACTGAGGAAGGTCACGCCCCAGGGAAAGAACCTGTACCCCCGACGGTGAGGGGTCTGCACAGAAATAATAATCCTGAGGAAAAATGAACACTGTGATGCTACCACAGGGGAAAGAGTATTTCAATTTGCTAACACAGATTTCATTTTGTTAGTCATCCTGGACAGTAAGAAAATTACCAAGAGACCACTCACAGGGCCGGGTGACAAAACAGCAAATACTGCTGTGACCACGACATGGATCTAAACCAAACCCTTCTCCCAGTGGCTGCTGGTGCTGCCCGCTCTGCTCTCCGAGGGCCTCTAGCAAGGTGTCTGTGCAGTCAGGAGCCAGAGCTCAAGATTGTTCCAGCAGATGTGGTGAGCTCTGAAAAGCAATACTCACACAGGGTCTGTACGAAAAGATGTCATTTACATTATTTATATATAATATCTTGAAGTAAGGAAAAAAAGCACCATTTTACTTAAAAGAAAAAGGCTCACACAGGCTTTGGTCCTATCTGGGAATGACACCAGCCTGAGTGAGAAGCAGTCTGGCCCTCAGGGAGCAAAACAACAGGGCACACGGTCTCGCTGGGAGGGAGGGTAGCAGGTGGCATGGGCAGCCGCACCGACAGGGCAAGCGAGGAGGGCAGCCCGGCACGGCCGCCTGGGGATGGAGACCTGCTGCAAGAGAACAAGAGCGGACGGGGGCCACTGTCAGGACGAGTCTCTGGGACAGGGACGCTGGCCAACAGAAAGGGCAGTACTCAAACCGAGATGATGCTCTGCTTGCTACGTGACCGTTTCCTCTATAGGCCTGTCAACTGCAGAGGGAGGCTTGGACAAGTAGCAGAGAAGCACTCTTTTCTCCAGAAAACTGTGGGCCGACAAGGACAGAGAAGCTACAGTTACTGCTCCTTTTTCAAGGGATGAACAACAGGCAGTTTCTTGGATGTAAGAATTCACATACACACAGTATGTCCCCCAAAAAAGCAAGAGTAGGTTTTCCTGCCTAGATGCGTAACTTGGCAGTGGCTACACCATGAGAAGCAAGAGTCTGCCTGGATGGGCTGGATTCCTGAACTACAGCTTGGAAGGGAAGGGCAGAGAGTATCACCATGGACTGGCTCACAAGGAATAGTCATCTCAGGCGAACACATGCTAATACATTTCACAGAATGAGGGGTAACAGCCTAGAATCCAAAATGTGAAGTTTGGAACACCTCTCGCCAAACCTTACGAGGAGAGCCTGCGACCAGGGAGAGGAGAACGGTGAAGACAGCAGCGAGCAACAGCGAACAGCACACGGTACCAGCCACCAAGAGCCCCGCCCTCGTGTCAGAGTCAACAGAAGTTCACGTGTACAAAGGACGTAAGGGCTAAAACCGGAAGAGGGAGAGTTAATCACGACAGCCATTTATCCCATTTTTGATGTTTAAATACATCAGCCAACCCACTAGGTCAGATGTCTTTTTGAGAAAGGCAGCATCTCTGAACCTGGGATGAAGGACACTTGAACACAATGCATGAGCAGAAGGAGCAAATGGAGAAGTGTAACTGAAATAATCATTGGACTGCTTAAGAATTTTTCTCGAAAATTCTAAAGAAAGAAGGATCTGGGTCTGCGGCTATATGGCTGTATCACTGGCTTCCACCTGGCTCCTCTGTTGGCCTGGGAGATGTGGTTTCCAAGAAGCACCTGTGCCAGGCTGGGCCTCAAAGCCGAATCAGTGAGGGCTGCAGACAACTGTCACAGCAGCAGTGGAACTCCCCAGAGATCGGGCCGTGTAGACAGGAGTCACCGCTGGACACTCCTTGGCTCAGCAAACACCAAGCCAGCGGGAGCGCCCTGACCAGACCCACAGCTCTTCCTCCCCCACCGCGCGTTCACGAGCAGCAGCGTGGCGGGAGGGAGGCTAGGAAAGGAAGCGGTGATGAGGTACAAAAGGAGGAACTGACATCTTTGGGTTTTTAAAATAAAAACTCCAATCTAGGAAGTGAGAAAAGAAAAAGGGAAAGAATTCATTCTGAATCAATGGACAGAGAAATATGGCTTACTAACCCCCACATTTTGCATACAATTTTATACGGGAAAAAAAAACCCACCCCCAACTCATCACAACGCAGTCCGAATGTTTGCAACCAAAGAGTTATGAAACTATTTCAGGTGAAATCACTTAAAAGGAGAAAAAAAAAGAAATCAGAAAGCTTTTGATCAATCCTTTCTAAACAAAATTGGTAGATCTACTCTCAAACACACAACATAGTCGGAATTCAGATTTATTGATTTCCACCATATTGACTTTAAAAATGGTATGAAGCTGACTGCAGGAAAGGGAACTGGTGATTTAAGTTAAAATTAAGCTAATGGTGAAAGTACATCACCTCTGGCTTCAGTCACCACATCGCCTTAGATTGGATTTAGATTTTTTTTGAACAAAGTTCCAGAACTCCGAAATCCAGGGATGCTGCGGGCCTCTCCCAGCAATGTCCTTCACTTTGGGTCAGTCTCCTGGGCCAGAGGTGAAAGTGCTTTCAAAAATACTGCCACTTCCCCAGCACAGTGTCTTTGATTGCATCCACATATTGAGTCGGAACCCAGTACACCCAGTAGTAAGAGGCTTCCGTGGGGCCCAACTGAAACGCCTGGAAGGGAAAAAGGAAAACCAAGCGGTACTTCAGAGGTGGGGAGATTGAGCAGGCAGCACGACAAACACAGGGGAGGGCTGAGAAGTGAGTTAATTAAAAAGGGAAGGGGGGAAAAAACCTGTGCACATGGGGAGCATTCTTCTGTCTAAAAATACACAAATAAATAAATGAAAGTAAAAAGGTGGGAGTTCGGCATAGCCGATTCTAAAGCGGTGGTTCCCGAACTCGCAAGGGCAGCAGAACCACCTGGAGGGTTTGTTCGAGCAGACTGGTGGGCTCCAGCCCTTAAAAGTTCCTGCTTCCGGAGGGCTGGAGTGGGGCCTGAGAATCTGCTTCTCTAACAAGTTCCCAGGTGATGTAACACTGCTGATCCAGAGGGCAGCTGGAGAACCACTGCCCTAGGAAAACAGTCACACATGCACGAGGAGGCAGACGTGAATGTTCCAAGCAGCACTGTCAGAAATCATAAAAACCTGGAAACAACCTACATACCCATCAGTAAGGGAACGCAAAATTAAAAGTGACCTACTCGTATGAATACTAGGTTTCCTTTTAAAGGGTACAAACTGAATCTAGAGTTAATACAGACAGATCATAATGTTGAACCAAAAAAGGCAAGTTACAGAACGATACATACCATGATACCATTAATGAAAACTGAAAAAACACAAAACAATACTGTATCTTGGTCATGAGTATATGTAAAAATGCAGAGAGAGATGGGGGATCCGCGTGATAAGTCATGATAATGGCAGTGGGGGAGGGGAAGACAATGGGGACATTCACTGTTGGCAGATTTTCCTTTTATTTAAAGAAAGATTGAAAACAAGTTACAAAATCTTTACAAAAGTCATTTCTTGGTGATGGATATATGGGTTTGTTATAGTTTCTTGGTTCATTTCCGTATTTTCTTAACATTTCTCTAAAAATGAAAAAGCAGCCACCCTTCTCTAAGGTGAGCTGTGACACATTCATCTAGCTAGTGAAATGGCATCTGCAAAGGGGGAAATAAATACTTTCATTAAGACCAAGGCAAAGGTTCTACTTAATGGAGTTTAGAAAAAAGAGGGGTGATTGGAACCTGCCTCTGCCAGCAATGACTCCAGAGAGGAATGAGCATTTGATCTAAACAAACTAAACGTGAAGGCATTAGCCTTTCCACTACCTCCTTAAAAGATGTCCAAAACGGTCTACTCCACTTGTTTGAAATCCCTCTCCCAGGCTGCCTGAAAACTGGGGCTGCAAATTCTACTGGGCCAAAGTGGTGAGATGAATGTTTCAAAAGGGAGTGAAGGGGCCCAGCTGAAAATATTAAAATCCAACTCTTAAGACAGAAAAACCTAACTGAGCCAGCAAAACAAATCATCTGCAATCCTTTAAAGACTACAGAGAGACCAGGGGTGGAAGGGCCGCCCAAAGGCCTGAAAGGAGCCCCGTGATGCCATCATCACGCCCAGGAGGAGAACACCCGGGAGCGGCGCACCCAGGACTGCAGTGCCCGCCTTGGCCTGGCTCAGCGCCAAGGCCGACAGACCCCGACAGGGCAGCAGAGGGGACACGACTGGCTGGCTTCCTTGGACCAGCGGGTCTGCTGTCTGCCCAGAGGGAACTGCCAGAGCGAGAGACCCCCTCTTCCTGGATCTTCCAGCACCCCTCTGTGCCGAGGATTCTGCACATCAGCCTGCAGGGGGAACCACCAGCTGCTGCTCCTGGGAGCGGGCTGACGCTGCTGCGCCACTGCTGCCCCCTCACACGGAGCACGGCAGGCGGCCCTGCCCGCACCCATCACCGCTCAGGTCAGGTCCCTCTCACAGCAACTCTGGAGTGAGGTGGCTGAAGTTCATTTTTAAAGCGGCCCCTTCGACAGTGCTGGGAAATGGAAAGGGTTTGCCAAAGCTGCTCAGGGCTCGTCACCGAGCCCTTGGCTCTGTTCTGCACAGACCTGGAGAATGCCTCCAAGCATTCTGTGCGGAAAAAAGCAGCCGCTTTCCTTAGAGCAGACCTCCATGCAGCACCAGGCCACACAGCCCACCTTCCCCACAGGGTTCTCGGCCACCTGATGGCTGCCCCCTGGGATGAGCAACACCGCTGCAGGAGGAAACCGCCTGGTGCCCTCACAGACGCCAAGGCTGGTGGGAGGTTTTGTTTTATACACCAGACAAATTTAAAATGAAGACCCATAAGCCATTCCGTCTCTTGATATTTATTTCCCTGGTCTAAAACCAAAATATTACAGGTAAGACGGATGCAAAAGAGATAAAACGTATCCCCTTTAAACTGCGGGAAGGTGGCGGGTGGAGCAGGGCAGTCAAATGAACAGAACTCGGAATAGGTCACCAGATTAGGTTTAAAGAACATGAAGACAACACGGGGGTCTTAACACCGTGCGTCTTCTGAGCACTGAGTTTCCTCAGTGAGAAACCCACTCCCTGCTGGAGGCGCAGGAGCAGGAGCGGGTGCGGGGCTACTCACCATCATGTGGTAGTCTTCGTGTCCTTCGATAGGTTCGCTGACCACATTTTTAATGGAGCCCATGGGCAATTTCTCCGTCCGCTCTAAGTTGAGAGGGATTACAGTGATTATTCAAAGGCCCTCCTGCTCTACTCCTGTGACTCAGCGGTCCCTCATCAGGGCTGGTGGCTGCAGGACCTACTGTAAACTCCAGCCACCCCTACCCTCTAGGGACAACGGGATGGGTACCTCGGGCCCTGCTTGGGAGTTGGGAACGTCTTAGGAGCAAACGGGGAAACGGATTTGGTAGAGGTATGTTAAAGGTCTCTGAGAGCAAAGATACAGCTTTCCTGACATTATTCTTTAAAGTCTGATGATTAATAAATACCCAAGAAATTCCTCTGCACCCCTACTGCCACGCCCAGCACAGGCTGAGGTCTTTGGTGCCTGGGAGAGCCGCGAGGTCCAAGAAGAGGCAACCACACCGGCCCGTGACTCATACAGGAAAGGGGATGCTTGGGGCTTTAAGACCAGTTTCTGTCCCATGATCCTGCTTACCTGCTCTCCAGCCCCCAGTTCCCTCCCCTGATCCCCCACCCTTGCAAGTACACATACTTGAAGAAGTTCTCTTAGAACACTCATAACCACTTGTGATTAACACTTGAAATACTGCTTATCACTTGGAGTCAGAAGACATTTTGCAGCAAGTTTAAGGATGGCAGACAAGAAAGAGTGAGCTGACACGGAAGTGGGCTGAGTGCAGCGGGATGGGGGGTGGTGGCAGGAGGTGTGGGGCACCTGCCAAAGAGGAACCCCCACCCAGAAGCAGCAGACACCTCAGGGACGGGGAGGGGCTCTCAGCAAATGGTGAAACCAAGCTGGAAAGGACACATTATAGCCTTTGCAGAAAGCAAAATCTGAAAAACAACAAAGTTGCCAAAACAAACTAGGAATTTAGAGACCTGGGTTGTCATGTAGGCTGGTGACTTGAGACATGTCGCTTCCATCCTGTGGGCCTTGATCACTGAAAAACGGGGTGGGGAGAAGGGACTTGAAGATGTTCATTCAGGTTTTTACTTTCAGCGGCTCTAAAACAGTGACCCACAGGCAGAACCTGACCAGCAGTTGTCTCTAAGATGGAAACTTTTTAAGCACCAGCCATCTCGAATTATCCAGAGATCTTACACAAAAGTATGGATTTTTGGCTTCTCTTGAAAATGCAGAAGGTTCAACAATCCTGGGCCTACATTCCTGAGTGACAGCTGTTTAGAGACTAGATTAGAGACTCGAGTTCCCGGCAAACAGGGCGCACGCTCCCCCAGGGCAGCTTCAAGTGCTCACCAGCTCCAGTTCCTGCCTGGGGCTCGTTCTTCTTGCTCTGCTGGACCTGAGGCTCAGTCCTGTCTCCTACACATGCGACCTCAGAGAGTTTAAGTCTCGAGTAGGAGCCCCAGAGTGCCGCTCTGTAAAGCACCGCGTCGAGAAAGAGGCCAAGTAGCTGCTGGGATGGTCAGCCCAGCAGGAAGACGAAGCCAGTGGCTGGCAGCCAACCCCCAGAACAAGCTGTCCTCCTAGGAGACGGCTTATGACACTCAGGTGACAGCACTTCTGGGCTCACAAGTGAGAAGAGAGCCTGAGGTTCACAGACACAGTGGTCTGGGTGGATTGGAAATCCCAGCCCTGGCCAACCCCTGAAGACATAAATGTCCACCGGCCACGCTCTTTAACAAAGCTGGTGAGTAACGAGGCTTTCAGCAGCCCTGAAGCCCTGACACATCGAGACTCTTCCAGAGCTCTGCCTTTGTGCCAAAGCAGGAAGGTGGCTACTCCTACAAGCCGAAGTAAAACCTCCAACACACACACAGGAGGTTTCCATTAGTCCCTGCACTTAAGGACATTGTTTTCTATCCAACTTCAAAACCTGAAAATATTCCCCGAGGAACCAATGGACTTAGACACTTAGTCCTCACCCAGCTCCCTTGCCTGCACCCAGCCTCCCAGCCATCAGCCTTAGCCACTGCCTCCAGTTAGGCTGCCTGAGCAAAAGTGCAAGTCTGGGAAGAGGCAGGGGTTCAGCAAGTCAGTGCAATGATGGAGAACGAAGCACAATCACCAGCAAGGTCATGACTAAGGGAGGACCCGTGACAGAGGCAGGGCAGCTCACAATTAGAGAAAACTGATGATGTGACTGTGCAAAAGAGAATGACCTACTGAAGAGTTCAAAGGCCCCTGGGAAAACTCGGAAAGCCCTTAAATATTCTGCAAAACTTGCTTTGCCAATGCAGGTAGAGCTGAATGTGAAATGAAGACTATAGCAAGGGATCGTAAAACTGTTAGAAAACTCAAGCATTTTGGCCATGTAGGTCTTTGTTCATTTTAAGAATCAGGACAGGGTTGAAAACAAGAAGTTATTTTCATATTTCAGATGATAAAAATCTCACTCCCCTTCATCTCTGCCCCAATTATTTTCCCTAACACTTTGGTCCCATTTTAAGCAGAATCATACTAAATGGCCTGTCCCTGAAACCAAACTAACCTCAGATGATAAGATCCCCTAAACTGCTCTTTACCGTTTACCTCGAACACTGAATACCTGCAGTGCTGGCCAGAAACAGGTGAATTAGGCATGCTCGGTTCACCCCAGGTATCTAACAGGGGCAGACAAGTCAGAGAACAATGAGTGTTCTGTGAACAGAAGCGGCAGCAATTCATTTGGGGGTTGGGGAGACAGCAGGGAAGGCTTCATCAGGAGAGGACACTTCACACGCTGATCACCCACTGTGGATTGGGTGTCCCTGAGGAAACACAACTGTCACCCAGATTTCGGTGACATGGTGATCAGTGTGTTAAGCAGGGCCTTGGAAGAGTATATTAGTAACAAAGAACGTGAACAAGGCATTCCAGGTAAGGGCAGAGCATGAGCAAAGATGTGAGCTGTGCAAAGCATGGTGGGAAACTCAGGGAGTGATGCAGCTGAAGTACACATGGCAAGTGGGGCAGGAAGCTAGATCGAAGATGTAAACTGGGCCCCAATGCTGAGAATACTGGACACTATGTTTAAGCATCTGAAGTTAGCCTTAAAGGGCCCAAGATTTTTGAGCACAGGCGCCAGTAGGAAATAACAGTACAGAAGATGGGCAGAACAGAAGAAATCATAGATGGGGCAGGGTTACAGGTTAACCTGCTGTAACAGACCAAGTTTAGAGATGCTAGGAGTCTAAAGTGGCCCAACAGAGTGGCAAAGAAAGGGACACAGATAATTCTGCAATGTAACTGCAAGACTTTGAACCATCTGGGGGAAGGGAGAGTGAGGACAGTCAGAGACATTCCCCAGCAAACAGCAAGCCTGACCCACTGTGCACAGGCAGGGTAAGTTGGGGGAGGCAGAGGGCAATCAGGCAGGGAGGTAGGGGGAGGTCCCTAGTCCAGGGGCAAACTCTCACCTACAGGGGCCAGGCAGGTGGCCTAAGAGAACAAAGCTGGCTATGTGTAAGAGAAATGAAGTGGTGAGGGCTGCAGCAGGGTCCATCGGAACTACTCCTCGGCGCCAGTGGATTGCTTCCATGTGAGAGCGCAGGTCCAGAAAGGCTAGATCTTTTGCTTTTTTCAAGAGAAGCCAAAAAAAAAAAAATACAGATGAAGTGAAACCTCCCTTATGATTATGTGTAAACTCGTAAAACCCTTGCCTGTGGACCAGACCTGGTCCTCAGGCCACATGTTTGGAACTTCTGGTTTTGGCTGCAACTGAAGAGTCAATACTTGATGAACTGGCCCTGAGATCAGACTGAAAAGAATGAGGAAAGAGAGTTCAAACAGAAGGTGAGCATCGAAGAGCAAAATCAAAAGCCAGGAGCACGCAAAGCACAGTGGAGAGAAAGACTTCAGAACGAGAAGCAGAATGGCACCCGAGCACGAGCCCTGCTGGGTGCCAGAGGCAGCGGGCGAGGAAGGGGCGAGAGCAGCACGCACCTTTAGTGCCGATCCACAGCTGGTCTTGTTCTAGCTTAAAGGTGAGTCTCACTTTTCCTCCAGACTTATTGTACATGCCGGATAAGGGTACTGTTGGCAGGCGCTCCTGGAGGCACAAGAGCATGGTGAGAGAGAGAGGGACCAGAAACAAACTAAGACAGGAAAAGAAGAGGGGAAAGGATTCGAAGATGTGATCACAGGAACCTCAGAAGTCAGAAGGGGAGTCTGGTTCCTTTTCAGAACGCTCACAAAGGAGTGTGGCTTACCTGGGCACCCTTAACAGACGGCATCACATCTTCGGGTTTTCCTTTATCCAATACTTTCCTGTGTTGCTATAATGCAAGTCAGAAGAGATAATCAAATGAAACAGTTGACTGCATTTCAATCTGTTACTACTACTCTAAAAAAAGAGGTTGAAGAAAGCCTTAATGTTTTGGTTCAATAGCTTTTACTGTCTACAGACCACGTCCTCTGACACTACAGGGCAGTGCTGTCCAGCAGAAACTTCTGTGAGGGAACTATTCTATATCCGTGCTGCCCAAAACAGGAGCCATGAGACACCTGCCACTAGTAAGCACTTGAAATGTGGCTAGTGTGAGTGAGGAACTGAATTCTTATTATTGAATTTCAATTAGCTACATCAAAGTTCTAGAGCCAACAGGATTTCCAGATAGCTAATTCAAGTAAACTCTACTTCCTCTTCCCCCTGCCCCTCCACCAAAATCACCAGTGAAAGAATTAAAACATCAAGCTCAAGAGAGCCACAAAGGGTCCTGCTCCCTAGTGGGGGTGCAAGACGGCAGCCATTTCTGTCAACTTCAACTCCAGAAGAAATCTGCAAGGATGCTGGGAATCAGCTTGGCTGCCTAGAAGGAGCATTTCTCCAACAAACGGAGACTCGGCCTATCGCAGAAATCTTCCCCACTACCCCATCCCCAACCCCAGCTGAACAGAAAGCTTGAAGGGCCACAGCTCCTGAGAAAAATGCTGATTACTCTACAGCCTGATGTTGGGAAGTCTCTAACCCCACCTCCACCTGAGGAGTCTGAAGCAGCTCATTAAGGGTTCTAATTAGACTCAGGGATCCCCTAAAACTGCTCTTGTCTGGCTGGCCCAAGTGCCTGAGTCTCGCTTCCTCTCCACCTGGGGCTCTGTAGGTACAGCTGGTGTTTGTAAAGCTAGACCTGGGGGGCAGTGAGTGGGTAGAGGGTAACAACTGAATTAAATTT